AGCTAGCTAGCTAGCCAGCTAGCTAGCTATCTAGCTAGCTAGCTAGCTAGCTAGCTGGTTGTCTTCTATCTATCTACCTATCTATCTATCTATCTATCTAGCTAGCTAGCTAGCTGGCTAGCTAGCTAGCTAGCTAGCTAGCTGCTGTGTGTGCTTACTGCAGTGGTGTAGCCAAGGAGACAGTTGGTGGGTATGCTGCTGCTGCTGGCTTCGGCTGTCTCCGCAGCTATTGGTGCTGCAGCAGGCGGCGCGCTGTTGAAGAAAGGAGTTTCTTGCTGCTGCTGCTGCTGCTGCTGCTGCTGCTGCAGTTGCTGCAGTTGCTGCAGTTGCTGCTGCTGAGGTGGCAGCAGCAGCTGCTGCTGCAGCTGCTGCGGTGAGTCAACAGCTGATCTCTGTCTTCCTGCTGCTGCGCTTTGCTGCTTCTCCCCTGCGTTTATAGAGAGAATATCCCGCTGCTGCTGCTGCTGCTGCTGCTGTTGCTGCTGCTGCTGCTGTTGCTGCTGCTGCTGTTGCTGGGTAGGCTTCGCAGGTATTTCTTGCTGCTGTGTTGCTGCTGTTGTTGCTGCTGTTGTTGCTGCTGCTGTTGCAGTTCGGGTTGGTGGCGGCAGCGCCTCAGCTGGTTGCTGTCGCGCTGCTGCTGCAGTTGCTGCTGCTTTTGCTGCTGCAGCAGCAGTTGCTGCTGCAGCAGCAGGAGTTGCTGCTACAGCAGCAGCAACTGGCGCAGTTGCTGCTGCTTTACCTGCTGCTGCCTCATCGCCCCCCTCTCGCTTCCCACCGCCAGAAGCAGCAGCAGCAGCGCAACCATCATCATCATCAGCAGCAGCAGCAGCAGCAGGAGCAGCAGCAGCAGCAGCAGGAGCAGCAGGAGCAGCAGCAGCAGCAGCAGCAGCAATTGGTCTTTTTATTTTATAAAACCAGGGGTGAGTAAGAGCCTGAACTGCAGCACATCTCCGCGTTGGCTGCTTGCTGCACATCCATCCTATTAAATCTTTCGCGCTGTGGCTTATGGTACCCCAAACAGAGCTAGTAAAGCTCAGCTGACACCTGAAAATAAATAAATAAATATAATTTATTTATTTATTTTTTATTTAGAGAGAAAAAAATATACATTTACGCAAAAAAACGAAAAAAAACGAATGCATAGAGCTGCATATACACCCGAAAACACTCGGGATACACCCCACACAAACTCAACAAATAAATATAAATAAATA